AGAACTTATCGCATGATTCTGGAAACTAGACTAGCAAATGTTTGGATATATTATGACGTAGGTAAGTGAACTTGTGCATAAGTTTCTCTGTGACTATGTTAAGACATGAGGTACCAGAAGTATGTGTAGGCTATTTTGTGATGTTGTTTTTTATCATATGATGGTAATCAATTGAGTTGCCATAGGTGAAATGTCAAGGTATAAAATTTAACTTGTAATTGGACATTTTATGAACATTATTTTGAGTTAAATTAAGTGAGAACAATAGATTGTGACAAGGATCTAACGTTTTGAGAACAGGTTACAAAGTAACAAATCAGAATTCTGGTTAAAATCCAGTATTGTCCGTCATTTTGGAAATTTTATTTTTGGAGTTGTAGACTTCCAAATAGAGGAAAATTTTATATCATTTTGAAGCCCCACATGTCTACTTTCTAAAATAAAAATATCATGTCATGTGGCCAAGAATCCAGTTTAATACGAATTTTTGAGTACAGACAGGTTTTTAGGATTTAAAAGAAATCACTTCCGGGATTGTGCTGGTTTTGTTAGCTTTTAATAAAAAAAAATTGTTTTACACTCCAATACGATTAAACGGATATTTCCTAGACCCGTATGTGAGGGATGTCACACTTTTCGAGAGCTATGCGTACAAACATTTTTGTAGAAAATTTGGTCTCATTTACTCGAGTATATTGCGTGAAAAAACAAATATTCAAATATCTGGGTCCTATACTCGAGTATGACACTTGATTTACTCGAGTACGAAGGTCGCATACTCGAGTATGAAGGCTAGTCAATGGTCAAACACGGATTAGTGTTATGTTTAGGAAAAATTTCATATTTTTGAAATAGTTTAAAAACTGAAGCAAATTGGTGTTATGCTCAGAAAAAATCTCATATTTTTAAAATAGTTTAAAAATGAGGGCTAAGTGATATTTTTTTTATGTAATTATGGACACAATGGTAAAAAAGTCGAGTGCCAAGTTCCTATGGCATTAGTGAGCTCACGTTAAGCCTCGTTAACCACAATCCTTCAATCTGGTAGTTGATCAATTGTCAAAAGTCAAAATTGTTTACATAAATTTCAAATAAATAAATAAATAAAATTCAGCCTTACACTTCTTAACTCTCTTTTTTAACATATTTTTCTTTTTGTATATAAGTGATAATTGAACACACAACCTAATACAACTTACCAAATCTTTTACCACTAGGCCAAACCTAGTGACTTTTTTTTATTATCGGATGAAATTTCATATTAGCTGCATTAAATAACTTGATCTAGTCTCTAATGGTGAGGGAACCATATGATTTTTTTTTTTTGATAAACAGGGAACCATATGATTTTTTTTTTTTGATAACAGTAACCATATGATTTTACCTAATAAAAAAAGTGTAATGAAAAATTCCTGAGTGTGTTCTAATATTTATCAAAAATAAATTAAATTACACAAAGCTCTCAAGTCCTTGTTAATTGAAGGAAGCTGAATCAATCACCGTTAGGAGTGTGCAAAAGAACCAAAAAATTGAACTGAAGTATATTTACAAAAAATTAGTTTTTAAAAATCAATTCTTGAACTAAAATCAATTCATAAAATGAATTGGTTTATGAACAGAACTAATTTTCAAAATCAGTTTAAGAACCGAACTGGTTTAAAATATCATGAACCAAATTGGCTTTTTAATTTTTCTTCTTCTCTTATTTTTATATTTATATTTTTTCTCTCTATTTTTCTTCATTCTTTATTTTGTTTCTTCTTTGATCTTTATTTTTATTGTATTTTTTCTCTTATTTATTTTCTCTCTTATTTTTACTTTCTTTTATTTTTCTTTTATTTGTTTATTGCTTTTTTCAAATTTATGTTATTATTTATATTATTTATATTTTATTTCTCCTCAATATTTTCATATTTTTCATTTGGGTTGATAATTGGTTCAAAACCCAATTTTAGCCTTTTAAGGGTTTGCAAAAGAACCGCAAAAAATACTACACTTAAAAAAATTAAATTTTAAAAATCAATTCTTGAACTGAACTATTTTTAAAAATTAGTTCTTGAACCGAAAACTAGTTTATAAACTGAATCGATTTTTTTCTCTTCTTTTCATTTCTTTTTCTTTTTCCTTCTCTATTTCTTTTCTCTTATTTATTTATTTATATTTTTCTTTTTTTATTTTCTTTTTTTCTTTATGTCTATTTATTTCACATTTATTTTTAATTATTTTTTATTTTTTATTTTAATTTTCAATATCATTGACATATATTTTATCAGAAAAATATTTCTGAAATTGTGGCAGAAATTTTTTTCTGCAACACACTATATATATATATATATATATATATATATATATATATATATATATATATATTACAGGTAGTACAATGTGCTAGTTTTTTTTTTTTTTTATATTAGCGGGTCCCATTTTTTGTGTCAATGACAGATACTTTTTCTCTATCACATCACAGTTGCAAAAATTTAAAGCCCATATTTTATTTGGATTTGGGATTAATTTTAAAAACCAATCAAGAACTGGTTATGAATTGAACAGAACTAATTATGAACCAGTTCCGAACTGAACTAATAAATCAATTCAGTTATCAGAATTGGATTATTTTTTTCAATTCAGTTCAAATCAACAAAGAAAATTGAATCGAATTGAACTATGCACACCTCTAATCACCAAGCACGTGGATCAATTGGTACAAGGTTGTTATAACTTAATCAGTGATTTTGACGTAACTGTATTAAAAACTTGGTGGTAGAGAGAATTTCACCCCTCGTGTGGTCTTGCTCAGCTCTAAATTACATTTCAAACAAATTTTTTTTTATAAAAAAGGTACTGAAACATTTTAGTTTAATTTAAGACAAAATTAGTTATTTTTTTAATCCATTAGATTATTACTTAATTTATACATTTTTGACAAATAAATCGGTAATTAATGTATGATTCATTTATTTCAGACAGATATAATTTGTGTCTTGGAAAAATTTCGGACGAAAAATAGATAAATATTTCTTGTTTAGTTTTTGCAATGGCAAAAATTAACAGATATTAAAATTCTCATTTCTTTATTGAACTTTTACTTTTAAACCTGTTAATATTAACATCCAATTCAAAGGTAAATTTATCATAAATAATTTGTGGATAAAATCTATACGCTGTAATGATATATTCCGACGCTACATTGTGTTGTAAATAGAAATATATCTTCATGTTAAATAAAACATGAACATGAGAAAATCACATCTACACAAAAATAACATCCAATTTTTTTTTTCTTTCATTCTTACCTCCATTGATCTGCATTCATGTGGTGTTTTTTGACACGTATCAATAAGCTAGACTCATGCTTTGCGTTGTTTCATGCCATAAATAAACTCGAACACTTAAAAAATCTGTTAGGCAAGCGGATTTACACCTCTTACAACCAACACAGTCCTATGTTCTTGGGGCAGAAGCAATTTGTTTAGCTTTGCATCTGTCCCATGGTATCATTTCTAATACATCTGCGGGGCAGGCTTACCTTTATATGATTATAATTCTCTCACATGACTATATCATATTTTATTTGACATAAGAGGATTTAGTCCTGTTATAAATACATGTATCACAATTAGGATATTAGTATAGTGCAAAGATTTAACAATCGATTAGTACTGATCTCGAATTCGATTGGCTCGAATATGAAACAGTCGGCATCTGTGAACAGTGGCGGAGCCAGAGAAAAAAGTCAATCAAAAGATAGAATCAGGTAGTGCCAATGTTATATTACTTTTAAAAATCCAACTAATGTCAAACATGTATCAAAAGTTTTAGAGAAAATTAATTTATACCATTTTAAAAAATTAGGCGGTGCCACCACCTACCTCTCAAGTGGCTCCACCAATGTTCGTGAATGATTGAAAAGTGAAAACCAAAGAATTATTTGGGATTTTTTTTTTTTAATCCAACTACTTTAGCCATTTTCATGATAAAAAAGTATTTTTTTATTTTCCATTTCAATCTTAATTATTATAAGAATTTGAAAATACGTAGTTTCGATGCTAGCCTGGTAGCTCATTTCATGCAAATTTTTTTGTTGCTGTTAAATATAATTACTACTCATATATAAGATACGACCGTCAATCCGTGATATAATGTCGGCTAGCTAGTTGTGTATACACATGACATGCTGACAAAGACGTGTTTGGATACTAGTAATCAATTTAATTATTCTTATATATATAACTCTTTTTTTTTTTTTTGGTAATCATATAACTCCTTTTAATTTGTATTGTACCATGACCGTCCCTAGTTTCTTTCAATCCAATAAGACACACAGCACGTGACATTAATAAAGTTTTCTTTTTCTTCTCATTTCCTGCATAATTTTACTCTTCCTCTCAAAAAAAAAAAAAATATATATATATATATATATATATATATATATATATGGGCTTAACATTTCTGCAGCAGCCGTAGATAGTGTTATCACAGAAAAGTGGGCCCCACGACTTTTTAAAAAAAATAAAAAAAAGCAAGCAAAGATCCGTTGCCGTATCCTAGGATCCGGACGCGGATCCTTGCTTGCTGTAGGTACAGCAGCTGCAGAAATCATTTTGCCTATATATATATATATATATATATATATATATATATATATATATATATCAGAAAAATATTTCTGCAGTTACTGCAGATAAGTTACGTTCTCTGCATTTACTTTCAAAACGACGTCGTTTTGAAATTGAAAGATTAAAAAATTATAATTATAAATATTATAATAATCTTAAAATAAATTAAAATTATAAAAATACCATGATTTTTACCCAAAAACGACGTTGTATTGGACTCACTGTAGATAAATTATCTGCAGTAACTCCAGAAAAAACGAACCCTATTATATATATATATATATATATATATATATATATATATATATAATTTCAAGGTTAAATATTACATTAATTGAATGCATTGAAATAGATATATGATCGATTGCATATTTTCTAATGATCTCAGCCTTCTCTCCCTGCATTACCTCCCCCAGTTGACCTCTTCCATGAAGGATCATGCCCACGATTTGCAGTTGTTTCACCATAGTCTTCAAGGTTTATTATCTTCAATGATCTCCTCACCATGCTCGAAGCTTCATCATTATCTGTTTATATAATACAAGTTTATGATCCTACGTAAAATAATATTATAAATGAAATGAAAAATAGATATGGAGATCGATGCGTATACTACAAAAATTCAAGCATTTTGTGGGGGTCATATTTTCATCTTGTGGGGGTCTTTGACCTCCACAAAGTACATTTGTCGCATTCTTAATGACCCCCAGTTTTGCCTACGCCACAACATATTTTGTGGGGTCCTTATGTGCAACGCCACAATTTGTTGAAATATTTTCTGGAGGCTCCAGACCCCCACAAATGTTTCAATTTCTGGAGGTTTAAGACCCCCACAAATTTGTTGAAAATTTAAAAAAAAAAATCATTTAAAATTTTACGTTTCTTTTAAAAAACCAAGTAGATTCAAAAGGATAAAAAGAAAAAATTAAATAAAATGGCCATGCTTTAAGGTGTAATCATCGTATTATATATAGTGAGCAGTTGTAGTTATCTTTATATGATAAGTTAGTAGTATGTTAATATATGTTGCAGTGATGTAAAAAAATTAAGGGCATTCATATCTAGACATAATTCTCACTTCAGGCTGTTTTAAATTGTGATGACTTATTAGTACAAAGAGACCAACGTTATTAAAATAAGTACTTGAATAAGTAAAGCATAAAAATGTAGTCGGCGGTAATATAAATTGAATATGATTCTTGATCACATAGTAAATTTCTAAACACAGTAGTTCAATGCAAATCAGATAACTATCCTACACTTGGGAAAACGGAGGGCCCTTCAAAGTGAATGTCAATATATTTAATCAGATCAAGACTCTCTCCCCTAACTTCATTATTGTGTTCCAAAGATGGAACCTGGATTTCGAAGTACATCAAAACATCACTATTTAGATGTGGTACACTATTTTTCAAAACAAATATAAGATCAAGATGGCTTGGTTTTGGCACAAAGGTAATATGACCTTGTTGGGTGGGTAGACTTTCTCCTTATACCAAGAAGGCCTATTTTGTAGATCAATAGGAACCAATTGTATCTGGTAGATCAATAGGAACCAATTGTATCTGGTCCTGCAATTCCTGCTTCCGACAAATATAAGGTTAGAGATTCTGTGATTATCGAATAAATTATGAAAATCACACACGAATATAACGAGTATGGTTACCTTCAAACTAATCCAAAGGTTTCTTATGTTACCTCACTTACCCAGTCTGCCAAACAGTAAACTCCTAACACAAAGCAAGGAAAGCAAGAACCATTTGAGCTAAAGATAAGGACAGGATATCTTAAACAACCTTACAGTTACGGGTGATCCATACACTCTGGGCATACAGTCAAAAGTTAGTAAGAATCTTTGGCCATCTGAAAAAGTCCAACAAAATGCGAATTCATGCATATGTGTTAGAATGAGAAAGGAACTTCCATTTCAAATAAAGAGAATTCCTATGATTTGCAAGCTCACTTCAGAGAATAAGATGCAAATAGCATACCATATATATCAAGTTATATAACAGCTAATTATATGACTTTCAATAAAAATATAAGTATATGACTTTCAAATTTAACTAATTATATAACAGCTAATATGCATAAAAATATTGTGAAATGACAAAAGTGACTTAGTTATGCTACAACCATATATATCAAGTTAGTTGTTTTCAGCTATGAATTTACACTAATGTGGTGTTGAGGGTGACAGTCACTATGGATGATTTTTATTGAAGTCAGACTTGGCAGAAAAGTCAAATACCACCATTTGGCCTCCCTACTCACCAAAACAGAAACTACTGTCTCTAACATACACATGGGCATAAAACATATGAATATCTTCAATCTTTCAACAATAACAGCAAAAAATTTGGGAAAATAAAATGTAAACTGTAACCATTCCCATCAACCTACATGGACATTGATTTGCTTCGGTAATGAACAGAAACTTATCTACTTCAAAAGTAAACTAGACAAAGTAGGATAAGATAGTATTTCCAATTTTGTATTCATGATGTCAATGGTACCTGATATCGAATCAATTGCTAACAAGACATAATCTGAAACGACCCCAACCTGCAGAACCAAAAAATAAAATAAAATAAAAAATAATCCAATGAAATAAAAAATTAAAGCAATAAACTCAAAATGTAAACACACACACGCACACAAATAGCATTAGAATTACATAATAAAGCAAAAGAAATGTGAAGGTAATTAAATTAAACACTTACCAGATTCCAGTCGTCATCGATTACCGGAAGACCACTGATTCTGTTGTTGACGAGAGCCTCCAGAGCTGCAACCAAAAAGATGCAGGGTGAACATAAAATGAACAGTGCAACCAAAAAGATTACGGCCAAATGGTCATAATGTTCACCGAACTCTTTGAGAAACTCGTCTTTGGCAGTGTCCATGTTGAAGAGAAGATTCTAGTGTGTACGGAACGATGAACCAATGGTGAGTTCAAGAGGCAACTAAAGTGCATCACAATTGCATAAATGTTTCTTCAATGACACATAGACAAGATGCTCTGCATCTGGTTACCAAATAACCCCATATTTGCTTGACGATAGTGAAATCGAAATTCACGATTTCACGATGAAAGGAAAGAAAAATGAACTATATAAGATGAATCAGAAGAACTGAAGATTGAAGAGAAAAATTAGAATTAAAGAATTTCTGTAAAAATTGAAGAAAAGAACAAAAAAATGAAACCATGCTTGAGATGGATGAAAATCAAATCAGATAGAGAGAAGATGAGTTACCTAAATGCTAGGGCATTAGTTTGGGAGAAATAGTTCTAACTAACCTTGAGATCGTAATTCACACAAGTTTAAGGAAATTATGATTTTAAAATTTATACAAGGATGATTATCAGACTTATAGGTGAGATTTTTAGATTCGAACGAAAATGGTGAATGTTCTACGGTGGAAGAGAATTGTAGTGGATAGTGGCGTTTGCAAACAGCAGAAAACGAAAAAAAAAAATTACAAAATATCTACGGCAATCTAAAGCGGCCAACAAATTACTAAAATTGTCAGAAAAAGTAAATAAATTGTGGGGGTCAATAAACTGCTAAAACTCATATCACATAGTGGCAATTTTTCTAGAACGCCACTAAATAACCTCCAGGAAAATCCCTCTTTTATTGGATGAAATTTCATATTAACTCCATTAAATAACTTGATCCATTCTCTAATGGTGAGGGAACCATATGATTTTTTTTTTTTTTTGATAAACAGGGAACCATATGATTTTACCTAATAAAAAAAGTGTAATGAAATATTCCTGAGTGTGTTCTAATATTTATCAAAAATAAATTAAATTACACAAAGCTCTCAAGTCCTTGTTAATTGAAGGAAGCTGAATCAATCACCATTAAGAGTGTGCAAAAAAAAACTAAAAAATTGAACTGAAGTATATTTACAAAAAATTAGTTTTTAAAAATCAATTCTTGAACTAAAATCAATTCATAAAATGAACTGGTTTATGAACAGAACTAATTTTCAAAACCAGTTTAAGATATCATAAACCCAATTGGTTTTTTAATTTTTCTTCTTCTCTTATATTTATATTTATATTTTTCTATCTATTTTTCTTCATTATTTATTTTGTTTCTTCTTTGATCTTTATTTTTACTGTATTTTTTCTCTTATTTATTTTCTCTCTTATTTTTACTTTCTTTTATTTTTCTTTTATTTGTTTATTGCTTTTTTTCAAATTTATGTTATTTTTTATATTTTTTATATTTTATTTTTCCTCAATATTTTAATATTTTGAATTTGGGTTGATAATTGGTTCAAAAACCAATTTTAGCCTTTTAAGGGTTTGCAAAAGAACCGTAAAAAATACTACACTTAAAAAAATTAAATTTTAAAAATCAATTCTTGAACTGAACTATTTTTAAAAATTAGTTCTTGAACCGAAAACTAGTTTATAAACTGAATCGATTTTTTCTCTTCTTTTCATTTATTTTTCTTTTTCCTTCTCTATTTCTTTTCTCTTTTTTATTTATTTATTGAAATTTTTCTTTTTTTATTTTCTTTTTGTCTATTTATTTTTCATTTATTTTTAATTATTTTTTTATTTTAATTTTCAATATCATTGACATATATTTTATCAGAAAAATATTTTTGAAATTGTGGCAGAATTTTTTTTCTGCAACACATTATATATTACAGGTAGTACATAATGTGCTAGTTTTCTTTTCTTTTTTATATTAGCGGGTCCCATTTTTTGTGTCAATGACAGATACTTTTTCTCTATCACAGTTGCAAAAATTTAAAGCCCATATTTTATTTGGATTTAGAATTAATTTTAAAAACCAATCAAGAACTGGTTATGAATTGAACTGGACTAATTATGAACTAGTTCCGAACTGAACTAATAAATCAATTCAGTTATCAGAATTGGATTATTTTTTTCAATTTAGTTCGAATCAACAAAGAAAATTGAATCGAATTGAACTATGCGCACCCCTAATCACCAAGAACGTGGATCAATTGGTACAAGGTTGTTATAACTTAATCAGTGATTTTGACGTAACTGTATTAAAAACTTGGTGGTAGAGAGAATTTCACCCCTCGTGTGGTCTTGTTCAGCTCTAAATTACATTTCAAACAAATTTTTTTTATAAAAAAGGTACTGAAACATTTTAGTTGAATTTAAGACAAAATTAGTTATTTTTTTGTGGTGTTTTTTGACACGTATCAATAAGCTAGACCCATGCTTCGCGTTGTTTCATGCCATAAATAAACTCGAACACTTAAGAAATCGGTCGGACAAGCGGATTCACACCTCTTACAACCAACACAGTCCTCTGTTCTTGGAGCAGAAGCAATTTGTTTAGCTTTACATCCGTCCCAAGGTATCATCATGTCGGCATCCGTGAACAATGGCGGAGCCAGAGAAAAAAGTCAATCAAAAGATAGAATCAGGTAGTGTCAATGTTGTATTACTTTTAAAAATTCAACTAATGTCAAACATGTATCAAAAGTTTTAGAAAAAATTAATTTATACCATTTTAAAAAATTAGGCGGTGTTTTAAAAAATTAAGCGGTGCCAAGGAACCACCTACCTCTCAAGTGGCTCCACCAATGTTCGTGAATGACTGAAAAGTGAAAACCAAAGAATTATTTGGGATTTTTTTTTTAATCCAACTACTTTAGCCATTTTCATGATAAAGAAGTATTTATTATTTTCCATTTCAATCTTAATTATTATAAGAATTTGAAAATACGTAGTTTCGATGCTAGCCTGGTAGCTCATTTCATGCAAATTTTTTTGTTGCTGTTAAATATAATTACTACTCATATATAAGATAAGACCGTCAATCCGTGATATAATGTCGGCTAGCTAGTTGTCTATACACATGACATCCTGACAAAGACGTGTTTGGATACTAGTAAACAATTTAATTATTCTTATATATATAACTCCTTTTAATTTGTATTGTACCATGACCGTCCCTAGTTTCTTTCAATCCAATAAGACACGCAGCACGTGACATTAATAAAGTTTTCTTTTTCTTCTCATTTCCTGCATAATTTTACTCTCCCTCTCAAATATATATATATATATATATATATATATATATATATATATATATATATCAAGAAAAATATTTCTGAAATTACTGCAGATAAGTTATGTTATCTGTATTTACTTTCAAAACGACGTCGTTTTGAAATTGAAAGATTAAAAAATTATAATTATAAAGACTATAATAATCTTAAAATAAATTAAGATTACAAAAATACCATGATTTTTACCCAAAAACGACATTGTATTGGACTTACGGTAGATAAGTTATCTGGAGTAACTGCAGAAAAACGAACCTTATATACATATATGAGGCAGGATCCTTTGACACCGGTGTTAAATTTGAAGTTTGACACCTCATCTGAGAGCTGTTAGATCAAAAAAGATCAACGATTCTGATTTGTGGGCATGTGACACCATTGATCTTTTTTGATCTAACGGCTCTCAGATGAGGTGTCAAACTTCAAATTTGACACCGGTGTCAAAGGATCCTACCCTTCTCTCTCTCTATATATATATATATATATATATATATATATATATATATATATATATATATATGCGCGCGCATAATTTGAAGGTTAAATATTACATTAATTGAATGCATTGAAATAGATATATGATCGATTGCATATTTTCTAATGATCTCAGCCTTTTCTCCCTGCATTACCTCCCCCAGTTGACCTCTTCCATGAAGGATCATGCCCACGATTTGCAGTTGTTTCACCATAGTCTTCAAGGTTTATTATCTTCAATGATCTCCTCACCATGCTCGAAGCTTCATCATTATCTGTTTATATAATACAAGTTTATGATCCCACGTAAAATAATATTATAAATGAAATTAAAAATAGATATGGAGATCGATGCATAATCACAATGATCGATGTTTATCATTTCTCGGTAATCAATATACTAATTAACCAAGATGTCATTGTCGTTAAAAAGACGATAATATGTTAAAATTTAATTAATTAAAAGTAATGAAATCCACACAATATTAAAATATATTTTGTCACTTGTTAATTTATAATAACTTGGAAATTAATGAGAGAGATTCATGCATTGTAGCAACACGAAGCCAGTCCAGCTTTCGAGACAGCCTTGAACTCCAAATCGAAACCTATCTTCTGATTTCATATTCAAACGTGATTATAATTAATAACAAACGTAAACCTTAAGAAATTTATTTTTCTTCATCTTTCTTTTTTGGAAACTTTTGTTTTTTACACATACCAAAATTTCATACCGTGCAATTCAGAAAACCTTCTCTTCCAAATCAATCATATCCAAAACATTTAGATTCTAAAAATTATTGTAGTGGGGAGCACATGATAAAGAAGATAGGATATAATAACTTATCATATCTTATTTTTATCTCTTGTTTGGTGGGTCAATATGATATGATTAGTTTATCCTAATGTCTCATTTTATCCTATCCAATACATGATTTCTTATCCTATGGGGGGAGCTGAGTTAGGATTCAACCGGATAAGATATCAATATTGAATACCCAATATATCCCCACGCTATCCAATATATTCTCATGTTACTCAATATATTTGTATTTATTGCATTGCATTATATTTTCTTTTTTCTTTTTCCTTTCTCCTTCTACATAATCTTATCAGATTGCTAGTGCTTATCAAACAAACACAGGACTTGATATAGGCTTATCAGTCTCATATCATATCCTACCCTTAACAGTCTCATATCATATCCTATCATTATCATATCCTATCCGCCAAACGAGAGTCCAAAAGATTGTTTAGGTGGAAAGAGAGAACGAAACAAAAAATATTAAAAAAAGAAAAAGGCTAGGCATATCAAGGGAACTTTGTGCTCTTTTGGATTCTTTCTTTCAGATCCTTTTAATGTAATCTTCAAAATAATTGAAACGGATCTTGAAGCATATATGATTTTTCATTAATATAATTTTGGCACTTTGTCCTAGCCTCTAACTCATAAAGGGAAAAAGAGGTAGAAAATAAGGTGAAATGAAAGGGAAACTCACTTGGAAAGAAAATAGGGTTCCTAGCAGTAGCAGAGCATAGTATCAAGAAAGTTAGCAAAATGAAGAAGGAGAAGGAAAAGCCACTACGAGCACCAAATGCCATCTCTCTCTCTCTCTCTCTCTCTCTCTCTCTCTCTCTCTCCAATTAGGTCAATTAGGGATGGCAATGATAATGAATCACTCGGGGAAGGTATTCCAAGGAAGTATTTATAGACGAGAGAGACACAATACCAAAAGTCTCCTACGAGACACGTGTATATATAAGAACTATTGAAGAGGAGGGGGTTTACTTTTAAAAAAAATATATATATATATATATATATATATATATATATATATATATATATATATATATATATTCTCCATTTTTATGGATTATTTAACTAATCTGGTCGAATTG